TGGCATGGGAACTTTGTGATCTCAGTAACCCACGATCAAGCACCCCTTACAAATACGAAAAGTTTAGTCCTTTTAACAGCACCTTGGGTTAGTTAAAATTATTATGTCCAGTTTTTCAGATGAGAAAACTGAGGCACAGAGAAGTTCAAGAACTTAAGCCAATGATGGCGGGGTTTGAATCCAGATTTTTAAGTACCATACTATGCGGCATCATAGTGTGATCTGTAGTTCTTCAACAAATTGGTATCATTTTCTTCTTCTGAGGTACTATAATCCCAAATAGAATTTTAAAGGAATAATTTAACATATTTAAAGGAGTAATTTGCATATTATCTATTATGCCATTGACTGGATAGCAATTTTTTTGGGGGTTTTGTTATTTAGAAAACTTTAACATAAATACATTTTCTGGTTGGTTTAACCCCCAATTAATGTATCTTATGTAAAACATGATAGCATCTTTCTGTACTCCCAGTATATTAGTTTGATAAGGCTACTATAACAGCCTGAGCAGATCCTATTGGGTCAATCCTCTTTACTGTGGCTTTGCCTGTGGAGTCATTCTTCTTTCATTTTATTCTGTCTCTGCCCCTTTCGGTCCAGGATAGCAACATATTTGCTGATATAAAAATCTCAAAAACGGTGTTGACTCTCTGTGTGATTCATGGCTGTCCAAATCATCAGACAGGAAGGTCCTCCACACTTCTTTCCAGGATAACCACATCTCTAGTACAGGCTTCTACTGAGATGGTTGAGTTGAATCATGATTCACATGCCAAATCTCCTTAGCAGATGTTTGTTCTAACAAACCATTGGCCTGGTCTCCAGAGCACTCTTCAGTGGATAGGCTGACATTTTTGTTTTGCTTAGCAGTTCCTTCGTCATTTTCTTTCTTTCTTCTTCAGTATTACAATAAACAGCAAAAAAACAAAACAAAACAAAAAAACAAGGTTGCACCTTTCTTATTTTCCTTGGAAATATCCTCAGCTACATATTCAAGGTCATCACTTATAAGCTTTACCTGCCACCCAATGGGAGAACACAGTTCTGCCACTGTATAACAGAGATCACCTTTCCTCCGGTGTCCAATACTTTGTTCCTCATTTCTATTGGAGACCTTGCCAAAAGCAACTTTAACAAAGTTTATATGTTTAGCAACATTCTGTTCATGACTATATATGTATTGCTGATGATGACAGAAAGTCTCTTTACCCTTTTCTTCTCCAAAGCCACTTCCACATTTTTTAGGCATTTGTTCAGCAGTAATGCTTGCCAGTACCAAAAATTTGTTAATTAGTTTTGCAAGACTATGTTTGTTTCTGAGGACTGCTGTAACAAAGCACTGTAAACTGGTTGGCTTAAAACTACAGAAATATGTTGTCTCACAATTATGGATGCTGGAAGTCAAAAATCAAGGTGCCAGAAGCTCTATCCTCCCCCGGAGATCCTTCCTTGCCTCTTCCTGGTGGTGGAAGTTAATCTTTGGTGGTATCTGCCTTGTAGACACATTACTACAATCTGTGCCTTCATCTTCACATGGCCTTCTCACCTGTGTGTCTATGTCTCTTCTCATAATAATACCTGTCCTATTGGATTAAGGGCCCATCTGACTCCAGTATGATCTTAATTGGTTACTTCTGCCATAACCCTGTTTCCAAATGGGATCACATTCTGATATACTTGGGGTAAGCACTTCAGCATACTGTTTTTTGTTAATGTTTTTATTTATTTCTGAGAGAAAGAGAGAGAGAGAGAGACAGCGTGAGCAGGGGAGGGTCAGAGAGAAAGGGAGATACAGAATCTGAAGCAGGCACCAGGCACTGAGCTAGCTGTCAGCACAGAGCCCAACCCGGGGCTCCAACCCATGAACCATGAGATCATGAACTGAGCTGAAGTAGGACACTCAACCAACTGAGCCACCCAGGCGCCCCTTCAGCATACTGTTTGAGGGGGTCACAGTTCAACTTGTAACACCCTCATAATAGGCATAACAACCACATTAACTCGGTTTTTCTTATTTTAAGGCATTCTTTTCTTAGTTCCTACCTAATTAGCATTTAATTTTTATAAATAAAGTGAAAAGCAGAATCGTTTCACACATTTTATCCTACCTTCAAAGCCTTCCTTGTCAGACATTTGCACGTGAAAGTATTTTTTTCATAATTAATTAGCAATCCTGTGTGTCACAAAGAAAATATGTTAAAGTAATACCTCAGTTTGGGTGTTTTAAGTATTAATTTCTTATTTCATCAATCATTTATTGTGGTTATGTGAAAATTCCAATTTTAAGATTCAAACAACTAACTTAATATTTTCTGTCTTACAAAGTTGTTGAATTTTAACATATTTTCATCTTTATATCAGATTGTTGTTTTTAGTATAAACAATAGAGAGCATAAATTTGACTTCTTGGGAGATAGGAGCAAATAGTCATGACTCTGTAATAAGTCTTAGGGTAGTGAAATATGGAAGAATTCAATGCATACAAGCTTCTGACAATTCTCTTTAAATTTGGACTTTGCATTTTTAACCAATTGTGTTTATTCTTAAAAGAAGCAGCAAGAATAGCCATTCTTATTAGTAGTTTGACTTGATATGACAAATGGCTTGCTTGAAAAGTGTTATCTATTATTGATCATTACTCTTTGTACCAATATGTAGTGTGCAAGTTTCTTTATTTCTAAATGGGACTGTTAGTGTCATTCTCTTCTACTAATATAGGTATGTATTACGCTCTCTTAAATGATCTCGCTTAATCTTCATGGGAGTTTAGATGAGCGTTACTATTTGTACTACTAACAAAAATAGATTTCTCTGTGCTGCTGAATTTTTACTGTTTTTGATTCTGACATTTTTCCTTGCATTATTTTGGGTATTTTGTTTTTACTATTTATTTCTAAATATTTAAATTAGGAAATAACACTTATCTACTGTATTTGGAGTGAGTTGAGCAGTCAATTGAGGGGTAGATCTTGTTGCATGTTTACAAAATGTAGGACTTCTGGGAGAGGGGAATGGGAAATTAAAATGAATTTAAACAGAATTCTTCCTCACCAAAGTAACTGAATAGTGTCTCTATTGTTTACTCCCTTATTTTTCTTCATGAAGCAAATATTTGTAACATTTGAAGAAAATAAGAAAGTTTCTACTGATGAATCTGAACTTCTGTCTCTTCCTTTAGTGAAAAGATTGCATTTTAAACCAAAATATCCTAAAATTTTCAGGACTTCCATTTTCCATATTCCTAAACCAAGATAATTATAGCAAAATGTTGTAGAACTTTTTCTATCCCTAACTAATAATAGAAAACAGAGTTGTTGTGAAACATTGCTGCATCCAGAGGAAAAATTGGTAAAACAGTGTTTAGGATGAGTTGTTTGGTGGGGGGGAGGGGGGGCTGCAGGTAGCAGAACAGTGAGCAGGAAGGCATTGTGGTAGGAACAGAAGTACTGAGTGATGGAAGCATCTGGTGAATTTGGATTCTCTTCAATTCCTTGGGTTGAAGAGGAGTATTCATGTTGACTTGCAATGGGAGAGAAACTTGGAAATCTCAGTGGCAGAGTCAAATCTTGGATTCCTTAAATGCCAGACTTAGGAGTCTAGACTTTATTCTAAAGGAAGAGGAAGTTAGATTACAACTTATTTAACTCAGAAATGAAAGATTATAAGATATTTGAGGGGAATTAAAGTGGTAGCTGTAAAGATAAATTGGTGCTAGCAGCTACTGCAGGCAGAGAAATGAATTATTTTTTTTTGCTAGAGTATAGTGTCTGCAAGTAAAGATAGAAAGATGCTGGTATAAGGACTTAAGTCAGGAGACATTTTAAAGGAAGAATTAATTGTCGATGATGGCAGGATGATGACAGTAGAGGAGAAGGGAGGGATTAGGAAATGTTGACTGTGAATGTAGGAGAATGAAAGAATCATGGTATCGATAACAGAATATTTGTTTACAGTTGAGGAAGTCACTTTAGGAAGATTGATTGTAGGGTGTTTCCTGAACTTCCAAAGCATTGTATCTGTCAAGATTTGGACTCTAGGGATGGCTAGTACAGGCTGGAAATTATTAAGGCTTTGAAGTTAATTTGGATGGAGACAATAATTTTATCACCAAAATATTGAGAGACTTATTGTTTCAAGGCTGTAGTTAAACCAACCAGGCTCTCGCCATATTTGCTAGGGATTGTCAAGGCCTGTTAGTCACATCTTTGAGACTACTTCTACACCACCATTTGAATATCTGCCATGTTACATGGCATGTTGGCCTAGACATGATTTATTTAGCCTGTTGAAGTCTTTATAGGAAACTTGTTTTCTAAGATAGAACTTCTGACTATGTATTCACAATAATCAAAGCCCTGGTAGATTTAAAATAATCTTTTCTTTGAATTTCTGCCCTTAACACTATTCTTTCTTCTTAGTTATATATTTAAAGTAATGGTGGTAGGTGTCCTATGGATAGAACATAGAAAAGAAGTCATTCATTTGCTCTAATTATTGGTTAATTTGTGAGAGTATATTTATTAATAAACATAAATGTGATTAAAATATGTATCAGAGAAATTTTATCTCAGTCCGTTGGTTGAAGTTTTCTATTCAAACGTTCATTGGCTACTTTTATTCATTGCAACCTAGGTTTTCAGCTTTATAGACCTTCTAGCATTCAGTGTATTGATACATACTCATGATGAGAGGGTCATCCTTCTGTTGCAGGCATGCTTTCAAAAGTGTGCTCTTTCCTTTTAGTTGTTCTTGATACACAGTTGCTGATGAACTCTGAAGTGCATTCTGTCATCTTATTTTGTTATTATGTGAATGTATAGGTTGTCACATCCATTCAGAAAAAATGGAATTTATCATTCACTGAATGTTAAAAAATGTAAAACCTTACCCTCAAGTGTGTAGTGAGTATTCATGTATGGTACATTCAAAGTATGACGCAGTATGACTTTATGTAGCCAGTAAAATGTTTAAAGAATTTCACCCCTGTTGTGTTTCAGTGCACCTGCAGAAAAGACATGGTGAAAATTTCAATGGACATTTTTGTGAGGAAATTTCAGCCAGACAGATATCAGCTTTGGAAGCAAGGGAAGGATATATACACCATTGACCATACAAAGCCTACTCCAGAATCCACACCTGAAGTAAAAGCATGGTTGCAGAGGAGGAGGAAAGTAAGAAAAGCATCCAGGAGGTAATAATTTCTTCCCCATCCCATTCCACTTATACCTGTTTAATAAAATTGGGTCATTGAACATGATGTTCTCAGAAACTATGTATTTGCTTTTTCCTGTTTATTCATCATAAATTTACTTACTATCTTACTGAAAATTTGAGGGAAAGTATAATTCTGAAGATATACAATAAGTAGAATATAGGAAGGAGAGTATAATGTGTTTGAGAACATTCCTAATATGCTATATATACATGGCAAATAGAATAGTCTTGGAACCTCGCAGACCTTACACTGGTGTATGTTAAGGTTGCATTGGTGCTGTTTACTCATCTTTGTATCTTTACCAACTTCAATAACTGGGTTTCCAACCTCTTCATTTTGCTACTGATTTTCTTTCTGACTTTAGTTATTTTCTTCATTTGTCAAATATCAAGATACTTTTCTACTTTGCTACATTTTGTACACTTGTTTTATTCTTTTATGAGATGTAAAGCAGAGCATGTGGTATTTGTTTAACATGGTTGTCCATGTGAAGTTTATTCTATATTCCATTTTTGTGGCCAGAGCCATTTCTTTTAGGTGGGCATCTTGCTATTTCAAAATCCATTGAATAGGATGTGTGTTACGTTGCTCAGGTCCTCGGGCAATCTTTTAGGCTCTTATATTTTCTAGGTTTATATTAAACTTTTGTTCTCCAATATTACTCATTGTTTTTCTTTCAGATTGTAAAAGTGGTATTTGGGCATTGGAGAATATTTGTAAAATAAGAAAGAAACTGTGAAGGAATCTCAAATTACCCATAACATCGCAATCTAGAGATAACAAGTTTTAGCATTTGGTAGATATCCTTTACATATATTTATTGTATAATACTATATACTTTCCCCAAATTGGGGCCACACTCTGTTAACTTTTTGATGACCAGTTTTATGTGTGCTATTTTCATGTAATTAAATGATTTGGTACAGCATAATATTTAATGCCTTCATGTATTTAATCCCCTGTGTTTGGACCTGTAGCTCATTTCCAGTTTTTTCCCCCCATTAACTAAATAACAGTGTAATTTTAAATCTTTGCCCACACTTTTGATGTTTATTTTGTTACTCTGACATTTATTTTCTGTTATTTTAGAATTGTAGTGGGTGGAGGAAAGTTAAGAACATGGAGTCACACTTCTGCATTTTATAAGAGATATACCTGAGGTGCAGAATTAGTAGCAATACTAAAACTCAGGTGTTCTTATTTTACCCTGCAGTTTACAGCAGTGATTTTCAAACTGTTGGTTTTTAAATTTATTTAGTAGGTTAGGAACATTTTTAATTTAGGCAGCAAAATAAAATAAAAAGTATCATAGTCCTTCCCTGTGGTAAGGGTAAGTATTATTTCATGATGCATTAACATGTGTGTATGTGTGTGTTGTATCACTGTCTAAAATATATAAATTTTAATGGGCTGGTTATATTTTTAAAAGTTTGGGAAATACTGATTTAGAGAGTCATTGCCAAAAAGGCTACCTGTAGGAGGAAGCAGTAGTCAATTTGAGTTCAGAAAAAACACTAATAGAACATCTTGAGAATTGTTCTTTAATGGAAAGAAACCACAATACTTGAGGTGAATGATCTGGTCTCCTAGTGACTAACTATAGTGGCCTTTCTGGATTGACAGAGAACATAGATCCATGACATTGGACAGATTTGAAATGCCTTTTCATAAATTAAAATAATCAGTGGACTTTGCTTACCTAGTTAGAAAGCCTCATGTTTATGGGGTCATTGATTATGTGCAGCCTTGTGGCTTGATCATAGAGTTTGCTGCTATCCAGGAAATCTAATAGAGGGAGTGATTTATTGAAATCTCAAAGAGAGATCAGCCATATTATTTTACATGTACTATGCTATTCATAATGTGAAGATTTCCAATGTTGACAAAGCATGAGTTTTCAATAAAAGTGATAGTGATGATGATGATACCAGTACCATTACTGCCAGTAGCAGTCAAAGCTAATTTACATTGGTTATCCTTAGCTACCCCCTTTATCTCAGAATCCTGCCTGCATTGACATCCTATAGTGCATAGTGTTTGGGTGGGTGTGTGTTTGGACATGGAAATACATGTTGCTTATATTTGAGTTATAATTCTTCTTAAATGATAGTGTTGGAAATGTGTTTTTTTTTTTTTTTTAATGAGAGTGTGTGCATGTGTGCATGCCCTGTGAGCAGGGGAGGGGCAGAAGGAGAGAGAGAGAATCTTAAGCAGGCTCCACATCCAGCATGGAGCCCAACTTTGGGCTTGATACCCTGGAACTGTGAGATCATGACCTGAGCCAAAGTCAAGAGTCAGATGCCTAACTGACTGAGCCACCCAGGTGCCCCAGAAATGTGTCTTATACAAAAGGCATCTACAACAAAGACATTAAGTGACATTCTGGAAAATACTGAGAAGAAAACAATTAAAATGGCATCCACTCTGAAAACAGGAATTAGATATATGATATTAAACATGTATAGTTAGCCTGTCTCCCATCTTAATTCCTTTAGCTAATGATGATTTGGCATTTAATTTTAATGATTTTCATGCATACTTCAGAATTATGCAAAAATCAGGGCTGTGTATGGTTCACCTTAGAATGTAAATAATCTATTCAGACGTTAATGACAGGCTATAGAGCTCTCCTCTTTTCCTTTCTTTATTATTTTCCCCCTGTCATCATTTTTCACTTTATTTTTTATTTTCAGACTTATTTTAATATTATTATAAAATGTTAGCAATGACATTTTTCCAATAATATTTAATAATCAATTATTTACAATTATTTTAATTTTCATTTTTAACAAATTGCTATTAAAACTAAGATTTCAATTTTCAATTTCAAAATCTAATCTGCTAATTGTGAAGATTATTTTGCATAATGGTGAAAAAGCTATTAGTTATTTCACTTCTTTAAGTAAGTGAAAGATGGTAATATTTGTATTGGTGTGTGTTTTATCCTGTCCACTGCAAACATTCTGCTCTGACCACAGCTTCTCTTATTAATAGTTTCCAGTGCACTGGTTCTTACTCTAAGAGGCTTAAGAATGAGGAAGACGAAGAAGTGTCACCTGCAGTAGATGGGGTGGAGGGTCTTACCCCTGACCAAGACCCAGAAGACCTCAAGGTCAGTGAAAAATCAGAAGAAGCAGTGAAGATGGGGAACACAGAATCTCCTTCTGAAGAGGAGGCTTCTGCTAGCAGGAAGCAGCCAAATCAGAATTCACTGGATAGTATCAAACTCTCAGGTGAGAAAGTGGCTAATTATGTTTCATATGTAAGTATTGAGGCGATTAATGATCTGATGCCTTGAATCTGTGCTCTAGGATAGGTATCTTACTTTTCTACATAGCTTAACCATTAGAGCATCTAAAGCTATGGAGTAACAATGAGGAAGCCAAATGAATGTTGTAAAAGTCAGGAGCATCACTGATATGTGTGATGGAGTTATGAGACAGACAGCAGTGCCTATTTGGTTTAATAAAAAAGTATTCTAAAATGAACATTTTGGGTGGGGGAGCAACTCAATTTACAATATACCATACATTTTTGGAAAGCTTCTCTTAAATCACATGGAACAGTAAACACCAATTATAGATAATTCTTTGCAGATTCTTAGCTTTCAACCTAATTTTAAGAAGAGAATAAAGATTAAGATTTTTAAAAAGAATGACAAAAGTCATTCAGTTTTGTGAAGTGGTATATATAAGCCCCCTGGTTGTTTCTCTGTACTAAAGTCATCAGCTATACCTCTCAACTACTTTGCTTTTTTCTCCTTTATAGTATATTTCTCTGAAACTGCTGTAATATTTAACCTATTTTATATTTGTTGGAGTTTTTTAAAATAATAATTATGTTATTATGATTTTGCTAATGTTTACTTTTGAGAGAGAGACAGACAGAGACAGAGAGAGACAGAACAAGCAGGGGAGGGACAGAGAGAGGGGTAGACACAGAATCCGAAGTAGGCTCTAGACTCTGAGCTGTCAGCACAGAGCCTGACACGGCGCTCAAAATCATGAGCTGTGAGATCATGACCTGAGCCAAAATCAGACACTTAACTGACTGAGCCACCCAGGCACCCCACTAATTGAGCTTATTGGTAATTCCTCATACCCTTCATGCATTCTGTCTTTCAGCTGTGGGACTCCCCCAAATCTAGCCACGCATCCCTGCTTCCTCCTTGTTCAGGGTACCGTTATCTCTTTACATGTTTTTATTTTTATTTCTGAGAATGAGAGAGAGAGAGAGAGAGAGAGAGAGAGAGAGAGAATCCTAAGCAGGCTCTGTGCCTTCAGTGCAGAGCCTGATGTGTGGTTCAATCCCATGACCCTGATATCGTGACCTGAGCTGAAATCAAGAGGCAGACACTCACTGACTGAGACAGCCAGGCACTATTGCAGAAATTGCTTTCTTTTTGCTTTTTTCCTAGTGTCCACTCTAGTTGTCCATGCTAGTCACTTCTCCATATGGCACATTATCCTTTTAAAAGATGTAGGTTTTTCGGGTGTGGAGTTTGGTGAGTTCCTTATAGATTTTGGATATTAACCCTTTATCTGAGAGACTCTTGAATACTGAGAAACAAACAGGACTGATGGGTGGGGGGGGAGGGGGGAGATGGGCATGGAGGAGGGCACTTCTGGGGATGAGCACTGGGTGTTATATGGAAACCAACTTGACAATAAACTATTTGTAAAAAAAAAAATGTAGGTGAGGTCTCGTCCCTACCTTCTTCTTACTCTTACTCCACTTAAAGTAAAAGAAAAAGTCCTCATCATGGTCCAAATTTGGTTCTCTTCTGCTTCTCCATTTTCATTACCTTTGCTCTTGAAATATCTGTGTTTAAACAGGTTAATCCATACACTTTCTTGTAGTGACTTCATACTTTATTGGAGAGCTAGACAAACATAATTACAATCCACTGTGGTAAGTACCACAAGAGAGATGTTCTAGAGTGTTGCTGACATTCCAAGGAAAGACTCCAAACAGACCAGAGGCTGGCCTGGCAAGGTTTCTTGGACTAGGTGATATCTGAATTAATTTATGATGAATGGAGAGAAGATTGCAAGGTGAAAAAGGTAGGGAAAGGAATAGCAAGCAGTGCAGAGAACACAGTTATTCCATACATATGGATTTTTAAAAATAGTCCCTTACCATAGTCTTTAATCACACTGGATTTAATTAATTACTTGATGGATTACTGGATGGTTTAGGCCAAGGGCACCCAGGTTTGTTAGTTCTGTTGCTACATGGTTCCTTTTGTTTGGCCTCCAGGTTTTGAGATCTGGCAGAACACTTAAGTACAAAATGTGGCTGGATTCAGCATCAAAGCTAGTATGTGATATGTGAAATGATGCTTATGAATGTTTGTAAGGGAGGGAGAGGGGTAAGTAGATAAGGCAGTGGAAGAGACTTGCTCACGATGTCCTTTTCCCTTTATGTGCCATCAGTGTGCAATACAGGACTAGTGTAGGACATACTTCTTATTTGGATCTGCAAAGCCTTACATGTGTTCTTTCCATACATCCTTTGAGCTAGAATGTTTCATTAGTAGCAGTTCTTAGTATCATATTTCCTATTTTTAGAAAGATTTCAAATTGCTGTTGCTTTGGATAATTATTATACTGACTTTTGACATTGGTCTGTAGCATAACCCCCTTTTTAATCTCTTATTTTGTTGGTAAGAATATTTTTTTGCCAAACTCTAAGATCTCACCTTAACAACTATGAAGGCTCCATGGTGCTTTAGTGGCATTTCCCACTCATATCTGTGGGGCTTTAGAGGAGGAGTTGAAAGACAGAAATTTAGGTGAGAATTACTATATAGTAATAATGCAATGTAAAATGTACTAATATTCTTTTGTTTCACTCCTTAGGAAATATTTGCTTAAGCACGTCTATAACAGAGGAAATACAGACTAAGGATGACCATGCCTGTGGTATAATTCTACCTTCAAATCCCAGTGAAGCTGATGATTCCATATCTGGTGGCTATGTGGCATCTAAGGAATCAGAGCCACCCAAGCTTCCATGGCCAAAGTCACCTGAGTCATGCTTCTCAGTGGCAGAGAGTAACAGTGTGTTGACAGAGGGAGAAGAGAGTGATATGGAAAGTCGCAGGAGTGGCCTTGAACCTGGGGAGGTCCCAGTGGTTCCCAGTGGAGAGAGAAATGGCCTCGATGTCCTCGGTGTATGTAGCAATATCTTTTTTTTTTCTATATTTATTGTGTGGTGGAGTAGTTCCTGAAAACAGCATGATGTGCATTGAAATCTTGCTTTAGGGTAGAAATAACATTTCACATTTACAGATCTTAATCATATTTCCTTTGAAGACTGGAAGGTGAGCCTTTTGTGAGCTCAGGCTCACAGGATGATAACTCAGAAGCATGGACCGTTTGCCTATTTACTGTAGCTTGATTTTCTTTCTCTTCAACTTTTTCTAAAATTGAACTTTTTGAGATAATTATAGATTCATATGCAATTATCAGAAATAATACAGAAAGAACTTGTGTCCCCAGTTTTCCTTCTTGGAAAACTATAGTAGGATATCACAAATACTGACATTGATCACAGAATGGTTCCATTACCTGTAATATTAACCACACTGGAGATGATTCACCTGCAGGGCTCTGACCTTCTCTTGCCACCTCTGGGTCTCAGGCTTCCTACAGCCTCTGGTTTAACTCACCTGGTCATGCTTTCTCTTGACTCCTCTTGGGCTCTAATTCTAGGACCAGGCTGATGTTTCTGGTCCCACTCACTGCCAAAAGCAGGCCTTTTGCCTCTTGGAAAACTCAAGACCCCTCTTGATTATGAGCAACCCCATCCTACTCTTTGCCTCTGGCCTCCCTGTTTTTCATATGTTCTTGTGTGTCTGATTTATATGCTTTCGGTATAAACTGTTGCTTTAACCAGAAGATTGTAAGTGAACCAGGCAGGCTCTGATTGTGTGTAGTTACTGTCAGAATTCAGTACCCTGTTTTGACCTGTACACCTTGATGAGGGAATTCAAGGACACAAGTAAGGAAAGCCTCAATTTTTGGAGCTGACAAATTGAGCTGGCCACCAAACAGACCCACATCTTGATTGCTCTTGGTCATTTCAAATCACCATGGGTCTTTTCACATCTTTGAGTAACATGGAAGATTAGATAAGGAAATTATCTTGGAAAACTCTGTTCATAGTAGTTTTAGAATATCAAATAAAATACAGATAATTTGCTAATATGACCCCAAACTTTTTTTATTCATTTTATTCATGATTGTATATCCTACTGAATTATTAAATATTTATCAAAAACATAAGAGAGTAGAAAAATATGGTCTAATTTATTTGAAACAGTTGCTAAGGGAAATTTGAAAATAGTGTTCACACAATAATAAAACTTACAATTTAATTTCACTTGGGGATTAAGTGCAGCTGAGCAGATACTGGGATTCTTTGTGAAATGGTGAATGAGTCAAATGCCTGTTTAAATTACATTTACTCACATTCTTTAAACTGGAATGAAACTGAAATCACCTTTTCTGTTTCCTTATTTTCAGTGGAAGTGATTCTACCCTCAGTGCCTTTAACCCTCATCCTTATCATTTCACTGAACAAAGACTGCCTGCCTGGAAAGCGAGCACTGCTTTTGAGTCCTGGGTGACTTGGTTTGCCCCTTTTCAGCATCAGCTGTGTCATGTTCCTTTTTCACACTGTGGTGTCAGGCAGGCCTTCTAAGCAATATGGACCCATTTCATTCTTGTATGGTTTTCACTGATGCTTCTTAATATGAGGTGTAATGTTGTGTGCGTGCTTGCAGCAGTCAGCTTTAGTCAGTCTTCCCAAGAAATACTGAGTTATTTTTTGAACAATGTCTATCCATCCTTCTCTATGTCCATCTATAACTGGGTTCCATGCTCTTCCTGGAATACACTGAGTATGTCCTCATATTCATGCTGTTTCTGCTGCCCCAAATACTCCTCTGAGGCCAGAGAGTTCTCTCAGTTTGCTCACTACTCTACTCAGATGTCTCCTTGTCAGAAAGGCCTTCTCTGATACCCTATATAAAATAACTACCTCCCATCTCTTTCCATTCCTTTGTTCTGCCCTTTTTTCCCTTTACTGCATATTTCTTAATAGTACCAGATAAATACATACTTTTTACTTGTTTATTGTTTGTGCCTTCCTCCTCTGTAATGCACATTTCTTAAAAGCTGGGATGTGGTGTAATTTTTCCTGCTGTAGCTCAGTTCCTAGAACAATGTGGCACATAGTGAAGACTTGATAAATATTTTTTATTAATTTTTAGCTAGTATAAACCACAGATAAATCTATCCTGTATTACTTTGACATCTTTTCTTTACTCCCAGCTTTAATTAGAATATTGCCCCACATTTTCTCTTAATTCTATTTTGGTGTCAGATACCAATGTAGTTTCTCCACTTACAGCCACTGCTTCGTCAGCTTACAGAATATTTCTGAGACTCTTTTTGTTTTCCCCCGAGTCAACTGTTGATGCAAAATTTTAAAATTTCAAACTCTTTCTCTGAACATCTCCCTACTTCCCATCTGTCCGTCCATCCATCCATTTTCCTTCCTTCCTTCTTTCCTTTTGGATTGCATGGGCAAGAAAGCTTGTAAGTAGGTTCTATCTGGAAGACGTCAGGGTGCATATGGCTTTTGCATATACCTTTGGTGGGAAAGTATAGTTCAGAGAGACCAGGACAAAAAATTTTATATAAAATTTAAGTGGTTTCAAGATGACAGTAATGTGCTATCTTATTTGATCCTCAGAGAATTGGTGATTCATTTCTGAATGGAAGGAAGTATACAGGCTCACTTTGGCATTATTGCTTTCTGAGTGAGGATAGAAAGCAAAATAACCTGCCATATATTCACATGTGGCTAGCATAGGGGTGACCAAATGCCACAGTTCTGTATTGTTACAAACACGTAATCCTAAATTTTGATTAAAAAAACTGAAAAGTTGCTAAGTGCTGAGTTAATTGCAAGCTTGATAAACTTTCCCTGTGTTTTAATAAACACCCAGATAGTGTTTTAATGTGCAGTGGAAGGATAGGTAATTGACCTCTTGGTAAAATAACTAATAGAATGGGTTTCTATTTCTTTTGACTTAAAGAATTGAGGTTTTTAAAATAAAGGACGAATTCTTCAGGAGGTAAATAAGTATAAGAATTCTTTATAATTAAATGGTCATGAATTATTGTGAACCATAGTTTTTCATTCAAAACAAGTCTTTAACTGTGAATATTTCTCTCTTTTTTTGCTCTGTGACCAGAGAATAGAGGGAGAAACCAAAACTGCTAAAAGTTGGCGCCTTCCGCTTAGTAAGCCTCCAGCAAGGTCCCCATTGACTCTGGTGAAGCAACAGGCAACAAGTGATGAAGGTGAGTGTGTGATGTTTTGCAGTGTTTATTCTGTGGATACTGTATGGTAGTAAGCAGCTGTTCTGTCTGTTGCTATAAACTTGTCTAAAAAATTGCTTGGTAGAAAATTTGATCAAGTTGCAAATACATATCATAAAGAGATCATAAGTAATAAACAGTTTATAGGCAAATTGAATTTGGATTTTAAGGGTAAATACTTGCTTCACATAGTCTAGCCATGTTCCTAGCCAAGTTTTCCTATTTTATACGATGGGATAAAATTGGTCTTTACTGACATTTGCCTTCGAATATCGTAGAGGAGATTGGGACTCATTTCCCTAAAGGTGTCAAATTATGGAGTTACCTTGCAGTTGGGTTTTTACATTGTTTTTATTTTTAACTTGAGTCCTTTAAAAGTATTAATACCATCTTGAGGGGCGCCTGGGTGGCTTAGTCGGTTAAGCGTCCGACCTTCGCTCGGCTCATGGTCTCGCGGTTCGTGGGTTCGAGCCCCGCGTCTGGCTCTGTGCTGACTGCCAGCTCGGAGCCTGGAGCCTGTTTCAGTCTGTGACTCCCTCTCTCTCTGACCCTCCCCTGCTCATGCTGTCTCTCTCTCTCTCTCTCTCCTAGAAATAAATAAAACATTAAAAAAAGATACCATCTTGAATAATAAACTATGTGCAGTACCTCCATATCCAGATATGCCTGGTGTGTGGTGAAACATCCTTTCTCCTTAATAGATTTTACTGACATGGCTTGATGTGAAACAATTTCTATTCCTGGATGTAATATTTATTTATTTGTTTTACCTGGTTACTCTTTTTACCTCTTTCTCTTTTTCTAAAAATGCCTTTTTATTGCCTTCAGTTAAAAGTCAGATAGATCACTGACTAGTTATTTCTTACTTGCAAGTGTCTCATAGCATCAAGGTCGGGGGGGCGGAGCTTATTTTTTCCATTTCTAAAAAGATCAGTTTAAACAGGTTTTCTATAAAAAGCCCATCTCCAAGGTATTATCCTTACTGGAACAAATTGTTGAGGTCATGTGCCAGTGAAGATGCTGTCAACATAGTAATGTGAGCCTTGGTTTCAGGCTTCTTGTTTAGTTTAAATGCAGTCATTAGAGTAGACATCTATAGCAGATTTTCTTTTTTTTTTTTTTTTTGCTCACTATTTTCTTTTATACCCCATGTTTAGTTAGAAAAAAAAGATCATCAGTATAGGGATCAGATCATGATTGTAGCATTTTCTATAACACCAGTCAAAGGTGAAATTCTGTCTCCAGTAATAGAAGTAATGAAACATAGTTGCATTTATTTCCATATGTCATCATGTTTGTTTCTTCTTTCTCCTACTTTACCATACCCAGCACAAATCATTTTCCCCTTAGTGTCAAGATAATGGAAAATTCTGTATAAGGTAATTACTCCTTTGTACAATACTTGTGAATTTTAATTATCCTTCCCCATCATTACCTGTGCTTAGTATGCCTCTTCTTGGAAGAGGATCAACTATACTAATACATAAGGAAAACTGCTTTCTCCCATGTCCTTATTTTCCCAGGTAGTTTATTTTTATGTGGGCCATCATAAATTGGCCTAGAGTTTCTCCATGGAGAGCAGCTCTGATTTAAATCAGGATGTCTTACAAAATTTATAAGCAAATTGATTTAACAAAGTTGTCTCAAGGGTTTAAGGTTAAAATGTCTTGCTGAAACATTGGTGATTGTAGCTTTTGCAGTAGCATACTCTATTTTAATATGTTAAAGACATATTGAAAGGATCCTCTGAGGATTTTTGAGAATTAAAAAGAAAAAAAAAATTGGAGAATTTTAGTGATGAATAAATACTTTTACAAGCTTCCAAACTAACAATGGGGAATATTCTGTGTCCTGCAGTAAATTATATTTGACCTTTGAATATCATGTTTGAATTGCATGGGTCCACTTATGAGTGAATGTTTTCAGTAACTACAGTACAGTACTATAAATGTATTTTCTCCTCCCTGTATTTTTTTAATAAAGTTTTCTTTTCTTTAGTGTACTTTATTGTAAGAATGCAGTATGGAATACATACAATATACAAAATATGTGTTGATTGTTTATCGGTAAAGCAACAGTAAGCTATTAGTAGTTAAGTTTTTGGGGAGTCCAAAGTTATATGTGGATTTTCAACTGCATGGGGATTTGACCCCCCCTAAGTTGTTGAAGGGTCAACTGTTTATATATCATGGGGCCCTTGAATGTTATCTCTGCCTTTTGCCTCTGTGTCTGGTACTGTTGGAAGTGAGAGAACATCATCATCATTAGAAAATGATGAACAGTGGGATTAGTGCTCTTTGGGAGCACGCAAATCCAAATTGAGTTTCTTTTGGGAATTTCATACCCTAGCTACTAGGCTCCTTTGGCATTCTGTATACACAAGTAGGTGTGTATGTTAGTCAGGAGTGTAACTAGGTTAGAGCACCTGAGAAATTGTGTCTTTAAACAGCAGTCAGTATCCTCTGTTGGTAAATGAGCATTTCTCTATTGAATTTGACTCCCTAACAGAAAAGCAGCAAAGGGGAAAAATACTGATTCAGCACCTCTGGGAGTTTATGTGCAGCTAAGAGATAAGAGTCATCTCTAAGTTTGCTCTTCTCAAAAGACAGTGAAGTGGCTCTTTGATATTCAAATGACCTAAAACTGTAGAGAATATTCTAGTTAGTGGCAGATTCAGTAATTATAGAATCAGCAAGGATTCCCTGACTCTCAGTCTGTTCTTTCCTGGAAGATTTTCCATGCTTACCAGCAAAACACCAGTTGGTGGTGGTAGAGCAGAGAGAGGGTACATAAGAAAAGAATGACATTTAGAATATTGCATCTTTATATAAAATCTAGTATCTAATTCTTCCTTTCCTCCTCCTCCTCCTAGTGGAAAAAAATCTTAGGTGTATACTGAATTTTATTATTTATAATTGAAAAGAAATTACTAACCTGCCTCTGGTTTTCTTTTAATAATTTTTTTTTGAGAGAGAGATCAAGCACGCACGTGCACACATGAGTGGGAGAGGGAGAGGGAGGGAGAGAATCTTAGTAGGGCTTGATCTCACAACCATGAGATCATGACCTGAGCTGAAATCAAGAGGCAGACAGTTAACTGACTGAGCCACTCACAGGCCTCTAATTTTCTTTTAGCTGAAATGTTTTCCATTTACATTTTTTCTTAAGTTAGGCAGCTGCACAAAGTGATCCTGAAACATGGATTAATATTCTATTTTTGTCTGTTTATTAATGTAATATATAAATGTTGAATTAAAACATAAACTTGAAAGAGAAGCTCTTGGGTGGGTCATTTTATTTTTGAAGCATTTCTTATGTGTACCTCTTCTCCTCTTCTGATATGTCAATATAATGGCACATCCCTATTCTCCAACTTCAGTGCTTTGTGGTTGAGTGCCTGTAGGGAAGGCAAGTGTGTGTGTAGCATGGGTGAACTAGGTAGGCTCCAAGTACAATACTCTTGCCTGACCTCAGGAGGCACTGAGAGTGAGGAGATGGACCCACTAGAGTTGGCAAGCTCAGAAATATGCCACAATATTTCTTTTTCCTTGGTTGGTGAAGATGCCATGCTCAAAGGCTCTCACATATTTCCCTTAATATTCTAACTTTGATATGGGATAAGTGACTTTAAGGTCACCATGATTCAGTACAATCTTTGCTCTCCAACTTCATTTCTCTCAGCTACCCTCCATGAAACCTCTTTGTCATCCATTTGGACAACTTTTTTTCCTTCCAAATGTAATCTAATGCTTTTAATTTCCATGTGCTTCCCCTTACTATTGCTTTCCCTGGGATACCCTTTTCTTTCTTAGAATCATTCTCTACTCACCACTTACTCCTTTCCTACCTCTGCTGTCCTATTATATCCATACTTACTAGGCTTTAGAATGCCACTTGTCACCTTATATTATGCTTCATTGTCTGTGTGTCTGTCTACCTGATCTCATTCCTTTCATTTTGTCACCCCTGCCTAGTCGAAGGTTAGTTAATCACTGTGGCTTAAATCACCTCTGGATACAAGAGCAGGAAAGCCTTGGTGATCAGTAACTTTGAAATTGGCCATTAGTCAAGTACCTAAATATTTAATATGCTGTCATATTAAAGGAAAATGTAAATTCCTTTCCAGAAAATATTCTCTGTAAGTATATATATGTGAAAACATGCAGTTTTAATTAGCTGGAGAAATATATATGTCAGCTAACCCAATTTTGTATTCTGACTATATTAGAATTTTCTTTACCACTGTGCCAAATCCTAGAATGTGCTCAAAGTTAAAAGGAAACTGACACATTATAGACATGGCCAATGCTTTGGAGACCTGAGGGCTTCCAGAGTAATGATATTCCCATTGGGGTAGTTGCTTAGTTAGCACCTCAATTTGTATATGTATTTGTTGCCTTTCTTTCCAGTTTGAAGTCATATCAGAATCAAAAATTTTTAACTCCTCATGCATTTGCTGGTTAGGATTTTTTTTCACGTGTAAAATATTCCTGTTTTATTGTTAATAGAAAGTAAAACCATGCCATCTGGGAGGAAAAGATATTTTATGTGTTTATATATGTACCTATATAAGTATATATTTATATATACTATGATATATAAGCATTTTGAAAGAGATACTTCTTATTGCTACATTTTAATTTTTTATATCTATTTTCTAGTTCTTCCCTTTTATAGCATGTGTGACTTATGGCAACAGAGAAAGTACTGAACTTTCCTTTTGTTTTTATTATTCTCAGTTTAGCTAACCTACAGTGTAGTCTTGGCTTCAGGAGTAGATTCCCATGAATCATCACTTACATACAGCACTCAGTGCTCATCCCAACAAGTGCCCTTCTCAATGCCCATCACCCATTTTCCCCACCTCCCCAGCCTCCACCCTGCCATCATCCCTCAGTGTGTTCTCTGTATGGTTGCCTCCCTCTCTGTTTTTATCTATTTTTCCTTCCCTTTCCCTATGGTTAGGGTTTTCATCAGCAGAC